CATGAACGGTACCTTATTTCTGATGCCGCTGGCGGCGTCCATCGATTAAAAAAATTGTGCCGCGTGTCTGCGGACATGATTTTGGGAAGTCATCAATTGAAGGCGACTGTCTCACGAAACGAACAAGGCGTACAAGTCGGACGTGCGTTCTTTTTGCCGTTGGCTTGTGACCCTCATGGACAACTTTATGTTATTTGAGTCGCAACTGCTGGTCGTGGAGAAGAAGCACGACCAGATTCCACCAAGACAGTATGGCGAAAAGGCTCGGCGATTCGAGCCGACGAAGAAGCGTGACGGCGGTGCGTCTGTGAAATCACCGTTGACGACCGCGGCAACGTCGTCTACTGGAAACGGCTGCCTGGAGTGTGGCAGCGACGAACACCGGGGTATTCAAGTGCCCCAAGGTGCAGCCAGGTGATGCGTCTTTTGGATCAGCGCTTTAAGAAACCTCACGGGGTGTCGTCCGCAGCATCGGAGAAGATGAACGACTCCAAGCGCAAGATTATTGGTGCAGCCGTGGACCCCCAGGGCGCGTTGGTTATTGACTGTCCACGCATGGTTGCGTGTGATGTCAATGGCGTGACGGCGTTGGCGCTCTTGGACAGCGGCGCCGATCAATCTGTAGTGTCGCCAACGTTCCTGGTGCGCGTCGAAAATATCGGTAACTTTACGTTGGCGGTGTGCCAACTGGACCGATAGATCGAGTTGGGCGGCTTCATGGAAGCCACGAAACTTACAGTGGACCGCGAAGTCAAGCTGCGGTTGACGTTCGAGACGGCCGAAGGAACGTTGGTGTTATCGAACCTGAAGTGCTGGGTGGCGACGTTATCGTCAGTCGCGATGTGATGGCGTGACTGGGATACTGACCTCATTTGTTGCTGTCGCAAGCGCGGCGTATGCAGAGTGCATACGACCATCAATTAGCTGTGCGACAAGGAGACCCCGCTGATTGCAGCCATGAAGGTGGTTGAGACGATGAACAAGCCTGCATCGTCTCCCGAAGAAGCCTCGCTCTACCCGGAAGAAGAACGAGCGTGTTTCCCATATTTGAAGTCTGGGTAGTCGAAGGAAGTTGATCGAATGGCGGTGCGAGCGAAGCTCGCAGAGAAGGTGCGCGACTGCGAAATCGCAGGGTGCGGTGACGACTTTGCGGCACAGCTGTCGAAGCTGTTGGTACGCTACGAAGACGTGTTTCGACTAACCCTTGGTCGAGATCCTCCTGTCGACGTGGCGCCCCTAGTCGTGACGTTGAAGCAAGGCGCGGAACCTGTGCGGTGCAAGGCGCGCCGCTACTCAAAAGAGCAACGTGACTTCATGGCGAAACACGTTGCTGAGTTGGAGGCAGCGGGGCTGTGTTATCGAAACCCCCGCTCAAAATGGTTCTCGGCACCTTTGATCTTCAAGAAACCCGATGCGAACGATTTCCAAAGGACCGTGGACGTCCGTCCGGTCAACGCCCAGACGGAGCGCATCCTGTGGCCGATGTCGATGTTGGAGGTGATCTTGGATCACCTGGCCGGCACAGAAGTGTTCTTTACCCTTGACTTCTTCAAGGGTTACTGACGGTTTGCGCTGGAAAGACGTCGCAAGAAATGTTCTCGTTACTCGCGTCGGCGTGTACACGCCGACGCGAGTGCTGATGGGCGGCACCGACAGCGTGGCGTACTGCCAATCGTCGGTGCAAGAAATGTTCGCGAGCGAGCTGTACAACTCGCTCTTGATTTGGCTGGACGATTTGCTTGGATATGAGAAGTCCAAGCAAGATTTACTTACGGCGCTCGAACGTGTGCTGGAGATTGCCAGGAGCGCCGCCTCAACCTGAATCCCAAGAAGTGTCGGTTCTATGAGACCGATGCTCGCTGATGCGGATGAATCGTGTCGTCCGCAGGCATCAAGCATGATCCCGAACGCATCAAGGCATTGAAAGAGCTGAAGACGCCGGTGACCGGCCAAGATCTTCAGCAGTTTCTATGCGCCATGAATTGATTGCGCATGCCGATCCCAAGGTACAATGTGATAGTACAGCCGATGACCGATATGTTGGAGTCGGCCTACAAGGCGGCGGGCGCTTGAACGCGCCAGAAGGTGGCCAAGGTCCCCCTCGCCGAGGTGGGGTGGGACGCTGACCACGGAGCGTGTTTGGATCAGTGCAAGGAAGCGCTCAGCCGAGTGGTGACCCTAGCTCACCCGAAGCAAGGTCAGCTGATTTGTGTGTTTGCCGATGCCAGCGATTTGCATTGGGGTGGCGTCGTGACTCAAATCCCACGCGATCAAGTGGATCGCGAACTGGACAGTCAAGA